TTGGAAAATGTTTACTTTTCAGTCGATGGATAGAAAAAAAAAAAAAAAAAAATCTCCATTTTATGTTTATTTTATATTTTCCTCCAATTTATCCGTCATCGATAATAATTTTTCATTCCATCGTTCATACGATTCACGAATTATATATATATTTTTCCCGCTATATTTCAAAATATAGCGTGTTTCAACGAATGAAACGTTGCTATCGTACGAAAAAAAAAAAAAAAAAAGAGCCATGAAATCCTAAAAATGTCACTGCAATTTTTGATCGACAGAGCAATTACCTTCGATTTAATTAAACACGCACGTTGGTCATTGCAGGAAAAAAGAGAAAATAATAACTAATCCGTGTTTTTTTGACGAATTTTTGACGCTTCGTATTTTCATTTTATGAAAAAATGAAAATGAGAATATTTAATTTAATTTCATTCAATTTAATTCATTCGAGATAACAAATTCAAATCTAAACTCCAGATTAACATTTCTCTAGAATGATTCTCGTTAGAATAATTCTTTCGAAAATAAAATTTTTGCAATGCTATATATGTTGATACGCCGAATCTTGTTGGCGTGTATCGATTAAAATAATTTTCTTGGCAACGAACATCGTACTAACTTTACCCGCAGTCGCGCATACGGAAGGCGCCCTTCGATTCCCTTCGGTGACAGTGACAATTTTTCTTCGTGAACGATTTCACGGCTAAGAGGTGGTGTCGCATCGATACCGTCGCTTGTTTGTCGTTCGACGTAAGAGGAGAAGAACGGAGAAGAATTTACGAGGCTCAAAATCGAGGAGGGAAAGAAAAAAAAAAAAAAAAAAAAAAAAAATTGTAAATCCTATTTGTTCAACGTAATCCAATATCACGATGCACAATAATTTATGTAAGCTCTAAACCTTCAACTTTATTTATGAAAAAAAAAACTTTACTCTCACTACGAGAAAATAACTTTCTTAATTAAAAATTTAAAAGTATTTGAGTGCATTTGGGAGACTTTAGCTTGGAATGGTGTAGATAAATTTGCGAGAAAAATTTTTTTTTTATTCTCCTTTCAGAGAGAACGAAGAAAGAATGAAATAAATTGTATTAAGCAAGTATTTTCAAAAATGTATCTTTTCTTCAGTTACACGTTTCCACGTCGAATTAAATTTTAATGAATGATGGATGACAGATTATCATTCGCGTACAACCCATACATTTTCAGTTAATTTTACTATTCAACGTTCAATTCAAGAAAATTTACCGTTCCATTCGTGCTCGTGTCATACAATCAAGTTGCGTGTTGAATAGCTGTAACGTTTCACCTGTTACAGGTTAACCCCCTAACATTTTCTACAATTTATTGCTTGTAAACGATTAGTTTCGTTTTTATTCGTCAAAGTATGAGAAGAATAATTTTATTCCAAATTATAACAACAACGAAGTGTAAATGCGTTGCATGCATAAATAAGTCACTGATATTTATAATATTAATTTTTTTTATATATATGCGCAATATTATTGCAAGTAAAAAGCCATAAGATTTTGACAAATATGCAAAGGTGCAAAGGTCAAAAGGACGAGGACGTCTGTCTATCTTTAGTTACTCTTATCAAAGGGAAACATGTTTGTACTTATCTAAAACCCCTCAAGCATTTCGAGGTAAACGAAACTGTTACGATGAATTCGTGGCACAACGGAATGAAATTTATACCTTTGAAACTGTCCAATGGATTATTCAACGACAAGAGAATGCTTTAAAATTTTGGATCGATAGTCAAAAGTCGAACAGGTGAATTATAGCAACGCGATAACATCCATTTTGTTGAATAATGACATAGTCATGGTATAATCTATTTGTTTACCGAAACTCTACCGTCAATCGAACAATGAATATTTGATTAAAATATATTCTTATATCTTTATATCTAACTTTAATTTAAAAATTAATTCTCTGAAAATTAATTTTTCTTTTCTAATTGTTTAAATAACAAATAAAAGAAACTTTCGAAAAGAAGTTGAAATATACATCGCATTAATATATACTGTTACTTTGCCTTGGAAAAATTCAGTTGCCGAGCAAGACTCTTTCGCCATAAAAATATCACCATTTCACCTTCAAACGCAAACGTTCTCTCTGCAATCGAATTCCCTTTCCAGTGAAAAATGTCCTAAGAATTTTCATACAAAGTGAAACTTATCTCAAAAATGTAAATATTGATTGAAAAAAGTAAAAAAAAAAATTCATTTCTCCTATCGGAAATATTTATTTTTCGATAATAACGGATGTAGAAATGAGTTTTATTGATTATTATTTAAATTCAATCGTTTTAATTAAAAAAAAAAAAAAAAAAGAAGGAACGCTTACTACTCTATTCAACAATAATAGAATCCGATGGAGAACACAAAGAAATTGCAAATATTTATAGAAAATTTATTAATTAATTTATATTTTTCTCAAATGCAAATACAAAAAGCAAACAAAAATATTTTGCACGGTGTAAATAAAAATTCTCTTTTGCGAATTTCGTGCGTAATATCTGATTTTTTAAATTAAAAGCAATAAAAATTATATCAAATATTACATTCGTATTGTTTAGGTTCAATTTGATATTGAAAATTCATTAAATGTTTTCAAATTTCTGTATTGAAAAATTTAAAACTCTAAAAATAAAATTTTCCTAGTCATAAATATCGTGAAAAAAAAATACGTTTACAAAAGATTATAAACCAATATATAATAAATTTACAAAAAAAAAAACTTGAGAAATCTTTCAAGTTCGAACAAGAAAAAAAAATTTATCAATAAATAATCAATACTCTGCAATTATAATCTTGCCTATTGATATTCGACAAAGGAAATGGCTTTATATTCGAGTTTTGTCGTAACATCGAATAATAGCACATCTATTTTCCTCCAAAGACCTAATTCGCATAAGCTCGACAACTTGAACGACTTAATCCACTTTGCCCACCCTTCCCCCCCTCCCTAATAACACAAGAGCACTCCTATTGTGATAATTCGGTAGATGGAACGTGTACTAATTTCTGGATGAATCATTTCAATTGAAGAAATACCTCAGAGATTTCTGTTCAAACGAGACAAAACTGTCATTTCTTAAAGTCCTCGATATCCCTCTAAGGAAAATCAAGAGTCATTTTCACGATAACGATAATATGTATTCACGTATCCGTGAAATCCGTCATTTGTTTAGCTTAAAAAAGATTTTTAATCCTCTTTTTTTTTTTTTAATAAAATGAACAAAATCTCGTAATAAAAGAAATGGAATAATTTCCAAGCACAAATCTCAACTTTCGAACTACTAGTCGAACTAGTAGGAACTTATTAGAGCATACCAGTTTGAATTCACGAACGACGGTAAATCTGATGGTCTTGATAGGTTTTCTCGAGAAGGCCATCGAGCAGTATTCTCTGTCTGAGAAATTCAAGTGCTTATTAAGATTATCCTTCTATTTTCGGTTTATTATTTCGGCGAAAGCTTTTGAAAAGAAAATCTATGGGAATGCAATTCTAGGCAAGATAAAAATATTAATGAATAAGTTATTCGTGTTTCTTAATTCTTTCTTGATATTTTTATCCGTATCGTATTTTGCAACATTTATGCAAATAGGAATAATAATCAATAACTATCCTACTAGTTCTAGAAACTGTAAATATTTTATGTCAAAATGAAGTACGTTAAGGAAGACATTTTTTATCTATCTCTTGTGACTATTTTATTATTACGGTTTATGACTTTTTTTATATCTTCAAGGGCAATTTTATTCCATCGATAAAAAAAAAATATACGTTTCGAAAAATATTTTTGTAGTAAACGTATATTTTTTCAATGCCAATTTTCTATCGATATAAAAATGAATATTTTGAAAATTATTTTTATATTATTCTTTCGCGAATGTTAGATCAATTAATGTGTTAAAAAAATATTCGATATCCATATAATTTCAGCCAGGAAAGATCAGTTTGACCTATATATGCCCTCTACGTCGATCTATAAAAAGAAACTAGGTAACATCAAATTACGTCCCCCTTGAAACCATTCAACCTTCATTCGAAACATTTTTCGGTACTGCAAAGAGATAAGCATCTGAGAGAATCTACTTATATAATTTTTTTTTTAGCAATAAGCATACGAAACTTGTCAAATTTCGAATGCGAATATTATTAAAACTTATTATCTTTATTTCAATTTCCAGCCAATACTAGCCAGTACGCGCATTACGTTTTCAACACCTTGGACCAGGATCATAGCGGTATTCTCAGTTTTGAGGTGAGTACTCGCCATCTAAATCCGATCAGAAAATAAAGGAAAGCGTGTCATTGAAGTCAATTTTTGATTTATCCCGATATCTCTATCGGTTGCCGAGATATAAGCATTCAAACTTTTCATATATTTAACACGTTAACACGAAAATTACTCGCGATCCAGTGACCTATATCTTTCCCTGGAAATGCGTACTATTTCTAGGAATTGCGTCTGCTGTTTGTCTGCGAACAGACAAGTGAAACGAGTGCGAACGAGAGATCCGAGAAAACGACAAGGAAGGAGATAGTAAATAGTTAAAAATTATCTTTTTCTTTACACGATGATATCTCGGAAACCGGAAATGGTATCGAGATAATTCAAAAAGCGTTTTAAAGAGCAAGATTCCGCGTTTCTAACGATCGTTTCTCGTTGGTAGGAAGTTACTATCTTCGGAATTGTAGCGGTTCAAAGTTTTTCTAGTTAAGTAATAGAATTTAATTGGATTTAAGATAAGTATTTAAAAATATTCTTTTCTTTACACGATGATATCTCGGAAACCGGAAATGGTGTCGAGATAATTCGAAAAGCGTTTTAAAGGGCAAGGATTCGCGCTTCCAACGATCTCTCAATTATTGATTGGAAGTTACTATCTTCGGAGTTATAGCGGTTCAAAGTTTTCCTAATTTTAATAGAGTTTCGTCGATTTTTTTCAATTATTTTAAAGTGATAGATACGTTTATTTCTAGAAAAATTTTAAAAATCGCTCATGAATATATGTGATACATTAACGATTTGTATATTAATACTTTTGTAATATTTTAATTTTTTTATTAAAATAATCGGTTAATCTTTGCAAATAAAAATACGGAAATTAAAATGGAAAGCAATTTATTGTGATATCTTTAACTTGTTGGAATTACAAAAACCTGTAATCTCTCTATCCGACATATATATCGCGATAAATAAGAGTTTCTTGCAAGGCTAGTATACACTTTAGGAACATGAATCTTTAAAATTGCATGTTTCTCAACGGAAGACTCGTAAGATCGATGTTTTACAATGCACATACAATTGAAAGCTATTCTTTACAAATAATGGATCTGGAAAACGAATATCAAGAAAATATCGATTCGTTTCCAAATATAAATACAATTTAAATATTTTCCTTTTCCCCTGTATGTAATGTAACCGATGACAATACATCGATCGAGAATCAAACGTTGCATCATTTATCAAGCAAGCGTTTATTATGCAAGCGTCCCGCTTATTTATCACGCGAATCGTTGTCATCTTCGTACGATTAGCCGTTCGTACGACTGTGAATTTGCTTCAAACAAATATTAGGCGGGTATTAACGATAATTGGCAGATAGGCTGCCAATAACTGCAGCAACACAGATCTAACTAAGTTTTCCAATTAATCGATGGTACGAGTCCAATCAATCCCTGATTCGCGGGTTAATTTGCGGGTCGAAGGGAGCGATCCCTCCCTCCCCCTCTCCCTCCTCTGTTTATTCCTTTTTCGAGAAACAAGGGGAAATTAAAGAAACCGAAGAAACTCGTCGGGAGATAATTACGAATTAACACGATTATCTCCCGACGCTTCGGGCTGTAAAATGTACTTTGTGTAATTGGCCTTCGAGCGTTGCCGCAAGCTTCGCACATTACCACAGCTTTTTACGCCGCGCCAACATTCTCCCTTATTCTCTCTTCTTTTCGCTTTCTTCCAAAGCACGATCAAGTTTTCAGAAATCGCCTTTGATCGTCCAATCTTCTCTTAATTAAGATTTTTTTCTCTCTTTCCCTCTCTCGTTCGATTCCCTTTAACTCGTTTGTGGAAAAATATACAACCTGCGTTCCTTTGTTTCTTTGCAACAATCGAAGAAACAATCGAAAATGCATTTCATCGAATTTACTTTCAAAAATGTGTAACCTTTTCTTTTTTCAGGATTACAAGTTTTTCGAAACGATTCGAACGAAAGTATATTAATTTTTTATGCCATTGTTTTATAAAATTTCAAAATAATCATATATTTTTGAACATTTCGGCTCCTTTTCTCTTTGAAAAGTAAAATCTCAAAGAAATGGGACGAATCGAGATTTCGAAACGTTTTATACTTTTTAGATGAGGATTAATAAAGAAAATTCTTTGATGCAAAGAAGTTTTTTTTTTAAAGACAAAATATTCACTATATATATATTTTGAACTCGAATTATTATATTATTTCAGCGTATATTTTCAGATCACATTACGACTGTTCAATCGTATTTCGAGTTCTCTCCAAGATCTGCAAAATCTGCGAGCGAGATTATCATACTTCACTTACGATATTTTTTGTCTTTTTGCGATTTTCATCTCGCGACACGACTCCTCCATCTTCCTCGCCTTCGCGCGACCCAACTTATCCTTTCCTTCGAACGAAACGATAACCTGTTTATAACAATGTATTCTCGTTTTAATTAAACAATCAATCTCTGGATACGCAATGTATCTTTCGACTTTTAAAAAAATTCAGCATCGAGGATTGATTAAATTAAATTGCGTACCGTATCGGAGAAACTGTTGTTCAAACCCGTGTATAAACGCGGCCCCTCTTCAATGCGTTTCGAACTCGATCGAAATCGCGTATTTCTGCAGTTGCAACGCGTAATCACGAGGACCCTAAATCAACAATCCCTATTTATTCCGGTGAGGATCGTTGTTTGCGATTAGGTCCGGGTGTAAACGTATCTTCTATATTTGTGAACAAAGCGCTCCTGCTTCGCCGTTGCAAATGCTTACTTATGCTACCCCTCCCCGGCTTGTTTGCGATTCCCCTTTGCTCGAATTTGAAAATTAATGCTTAAAAACACCGATTCGAGGAAAAAGTTAACGTTCTCTTAACGTCGTCGATGTTAAAAAGTGTCTCTGGGTATATCGTGTGTGTATATATTCGAGAATAAGCGCGTTTAACTCGAACGTTTAAGCACGTTTAAGCACGGATCGAGGAAACGCACGGCACGGCATTTTCATCGATTGAGCCTCGAATGGGGGGAGGGGAAAAAGAAACGCTGTTGTAACGCGATTTGCCATAATTGAAGCGTGCGCTAATCCAATTTGTCCCATGAACATGAGCTCGAAAGTGCTTTTGGCGGTGGGCCCTGTTGCGTGACTCGTGTTCCAACCCGGTGTTATTATTCATTCTTTTTCCAGTTTTCAATTACCAAAGATGTCGGCCCATTATTCCAAAGGCTTGCGTACGAGCGACGTATCGAGCGAAATTAATTCGTTTAGACGAAACCAATTTATTCGCAAACGGAATAAGCGGAGGGGAAATGCGTGCGTCTTTTTTTAAGTACGCTTCATTTGTATTTGTAAAGTTGTTCTCTTGATAATAATAATAATAATCGAAACTTAAATGAAAGGAGGACGTAACAAAAAAATATTTTTAGAAGAATAGAAGAAGTCGTGTTTTCTCGTATTTTTGTCATTCCCACTTCGTTGCTTTGTCAATTTTGTTGCGTCTCAAAGTTGTTACGAGACATTGTTGAAATTGTTGAGGTAAGGCAGAAGAGGTTTAGCAGGAAAATTCTAAAACGAATATAAATTCGTTGTAACAATCTCGCTTTGGTTAAATTATTTATTAAATCGTGTTAATTTATAACTCAATAAAAGTGATCTTCAACAAGATTTTAAAACTATTTTAAAATTATTTGTTTTACATTTATCGAATATAATGAAAACGAAATATTGTTTTTTCTTATCTGTAAATTATCCTGTATTAGTTGGAGCTATTTTTTGATTAATTAAAAATGTTGAAATGAATCAGAAAAAGAATTATATGGAATAAGAAAAATTCGATCAATATAAAATAAAAGAAATGAGAGTCTTCTTTAAAAAAAAATTGAGATCAAGCACAAACAAGCAAAAGTTCATAAAAGTTTAAACTTTTAATCAAGATTCTACGTTATTCAATAATCATTAAACATGTTGTATTCTCTTTGTATATCATAAGAAAACGTTCTCTTCTCTAACATGAAATTTTTTTAAGAATAAATATTTAAATCCCTTGTTAAGAATAATTTTTAGAATAATTCCCAACTCTAAGTTTTGCACTCTGTTCGATAGTAAACGCTGAGTTAGCATCGTTGTTTTTTTAACGGTGTGCGTATTTTTAAGGAAAAAAGTGGGTCAGTCAGTATTTCTGGAAATTTGATTGCCATTCATACCTTTTGCAGTTTAAACGATGCACTTTAAAATCTCTAAAATCAACTGGAATAACAACCTGAAACAAACTGTACTTTTCCATTATTCCGGCAAGTGATTTAAAATAAATGTAGCGTTTTAAATTCTATTCCATATTCAACGTATATGAAATCATATTGAGTCATTCGCGTATTTCGGTTGAACGATATTGGATTAAAACGATTAGGAGAATAAAAATAAATTTTATTTACGGAAAAATAAATGGGTTCGAGTTATGTACGAGTTAATAAATATATGTATACGTACAGAGATGTTGCAATTATTTTAATATTATTTCTATTTTTATCTTGAGCAAAAAATATTACATTAAATAATATATTTAATTTAAATAAAATATAAATGGATCAGAGAAAATATATTTTTACTAAATTTAAATAAACTGTGAGGCATAATATTTAGACATTTTTTTGTATTTAATTTTTGAAAATTTCCATTTTCTATTTTTCTTTTTTTTTTTCTTTCTTTCTTTTTTTTTTTTTTTTTTTCTTTCTTTCTTTTTTTTTTTTTTTTTTTCTTTCTTTCTTTTTTTTTTTTTTTTTTTCTTTCTTTCTTTTTTTTTTTTTTTTTTTTTTTTGAACAAAACGTTAAAGATAAAAATATACAATCCGCTACTCTCATTTTTTTAGTATCATTCGTAGGGAATGTAAATTCCATAGCTCAAATGGAAGCTTCACTACGAATTTCTCTTGTTTCATCAAAATTTCTGTCTCTTTATAAAACTCTTCTCTCGATTTTTTTTTTTAAAAAAACTCCATTCCTTATTCTTCGTTTTCCTCTCGTTTCACCTCTCGACATACGTGGCTGTTCGTATGTCCCTTTTCTATTCTTTAACAATGAAATTTGCCGCGTTAACAGAACACATCTTTTTGATCCATAAAAAAAATTAACAACGAGTACTGTAATCTAGTGAATCCTTTTATAATTCAGAGAAAAACCTTTCTTTTTCTCTCTCTCTCTCTCTCTAATCACGATACGCACTCGTCCTTTTAAGCCATTTATACCAAGGGGGTAGTTCGTTAAAAGGAATTTGTTTTTAATTAAAAGATTCCTCCGCGACCGAAAAAAAATATCGAATTTCCTACAGCAGGGAGACGAGATAAAACGTTAATTTATCGTAAAAATAAATTCGTTATAAAAAAAATTCATATATTATTAATAAATTGAATCAGAAATGGCACGTAAATAAAATTTTAATTAATTAATTTTATTTTGATCGAAAAATACATTTCATTTTTTTTTTTTATGAAATTATTACGAAAATCATTGTAGCGAAATTCGGGTGAAATTTCGACGACATTCCATATTAAAAATTTACAAAATATATATATTTTTCAACGTTTAATCGAATCTAAATTAAAAACTATTATACCGATAGAAATTGATAGAATAATTTGCGCTGAATAAGTTTTTTTAAAAAAATATCGTGAGAACGTGAGAACGTTGAATTCCACGTTGCGTATCCTTTTAAATCCCCGAAAAAATAACCGCTGATAATGCGCCTCGAGCATGGCCCAAAATATTTTACGATCCTCGTCGAATCGGCGTCGAGTCTGCACACCACCGGATAAAAAAATGACACGAATAGAAAAGATGAATTAACATCTCGACAGACTATATTCATCGTTTGCATCAACATTTTATTCAACCATGCTTACTACGGATACAACGCACTTTTCTCTTCTCGCGTGACGCGTGATCACAATATCCAAGCACGAGGCCGTTACCTTTTAAAACACGCATCGTCGATGCTAAATTGTCCCTGTGCAGTGAAATTGTGCGCGTACGTGGAGAGGGGCAGGAGAAGGAAACGGAGACAGCGTCGCTGCAATCGTTCTGTTCCGGTGTAAAGTCGAGCGTGAAGTCGAGCGCTACAAGACGAGCACAGAGACGAAATCTCGAATGTATTCTCCTCCTCGCTCGTAGCTGCTGGAAGTAATTCTGCCGCTGAAATAATTTTCATAATAATAATTGTTGCATTGGAAATAGTTGGCTCGATCGTTTTTCGCGATATTTTACATCGAGCGACATCTTTTTATGCATTTAAGAACGAATCGGAATTTCGTTGGTACGAGTTTTTTTGGTAATTTTATTTTTTTTAATTTAATTTTGGTAACTCGTAAGAATAATTTATTCGATCGAGCGACATCTTTTTATGCATTTAAGAACGAATCGGAATTTCGTTGATACGAGTTTTTTTGGTAATTTTATTTTTTTTAATTTAATTTTAGTAACTCGTAAGAATAATTTATTCAAGAATGGTTATCTGTCGTTGGAATAGATAAGCGAGTTTTTAACGAGCTTCTCGCGTGCCCTCTCGATTTAATCTCTCGCTCGCGTGAACAAGAATGAAAGTTTCGAAAGTATCGCGACGTTGCGTTAATGGATTCTCCTCTGCTGCGTCTGTTCGCGGTGTTGGAGGAGCGGCAGATGATGCCTGCCTGTCTGTCTGCGCGAGAACGTAATTTAATCATCGATTGTGCTCGATTCGATTCGTGTTGGAAAAATGCGCGATATAACTGTAATAACGGAGTGATATGGAAAATAATTCGAATTATCCGAAGAAAATTTTTACAATCTGACGTATAAGGCGACGATTCTCTTAACTAGGTTTATGTGAAAAACAATTGGGTAAAACGAGGATAATTCGGCGCATATTTGCGAGAACATCGATATAACCATTCGTATGGAGAATAAAATTTTACGACGCGAAAGAGGACAGGATGTTTTTTATTTTCCAATGTCGTTTCGATTTTTCAAAAATAAATTAAAAATTTAGAAAGAAAAATTGTAAAAATGAAATCTTTAAATCTAATATTGATAATTTTATATAAAATTATACACAAAAGATATTGAAATCGTAAATACGGAGTCAAAATGGACAATTTTAGAAAATAACAAGTATATATATATATTGCGTGGCACGTAATATCGAAAAGATGAATTTTATTTCGATGTTGCAGGACTTCGTTACTGGTCTCAGCATACTGTCTCGTGGTTCCATCGATGAGAAACTGCGCTGGACATTTTCTCTTTACGACATCAATGGCGACGGTTGCATCACGAGGGAAGAAATGACGGACATCGTGACAGCTGTGTACGAGCTGATGGGCAAGTTTGCCGATCCCAATTTGGA